GACGCTCTTCCGATCTCCCCAAAACCCCAAAACCCCATTGGAAAAATATATTATAACAATGGTAATAATATAAAATATTAAATTTGTGAAATGAGAGGTGAAAAAGATCAGCAATAGTAGCGATAGTAGTATTATCAGTATTAGCAACAATAACAGCAGCAAAATATGATTAACTAGCAGTAATAGTAACACCATTAATAGCATCATCAACTCAATATGGTCTTCCAAGATTTCAACAATCCACAGCACCTAAAAGATCATCATAATGGCCAAGTAAATAATTGAAGTCAATATGGACCTAATAGTAGCAACCTGCAGTAGCAATAACAAAACAATGGTTAATGGCCTTAAAATTAAAAATTCCAACAAAACATAATCAATAGTAATGCCAATCAATTTGCAGGTAATTAGCAAACGTATATATATAGACCAAAGCCTCAAGTTTAAAACCAATAAGTACATAATCTTAATCAAATGAGCTAATAGCAGTAGTAATAGCAATAGCTAAACATATAATAGCAGCAACAGTAGCAGTAGTAACTCTAATTACAGCACCAACAGCAAATGCAAACTTAGCAATAGCAATAGATGATTGCAAAAGGTAGATAAAATGATTTGAGTCTAAGCAGTCCTGCTGGAGGAGTATCTTAGCATTAGCAATTTCAGTCTTAGTCTCCTAATAGATCTTCGCAGATTTCGGCAAATGACAATAATATAGTCAACAGTTAGTTCAATAACATCAACAGAAGTCAGGGCAGTTTTAGCATAGGCGCAAATACTAGTATAATCTAAGAAGCACACAATGATAGTCTAAGCAGTTTGAGCAGTTAATATGATCTACTCGAAAATGGAATGATGCTGAGTGCTGCAGCAGCGGCAAATTTACAATTATTCAGCAACCAAGCAAATTAAAACACGAATTTTAGCAACAATAATAGTAATGGATCAGGAGGCAACGATAGTCAATATGGCATTAGTTCATTATTCAATTAATTCTAGCAGTAATCTCAGCTACAATTCAATGTTTTTGACGTAGAACTAAAATCAGACTATGATTCAAGTCATATTCTAAGTAAAACTCTCAGTATCGAGCCTAAAAGCAACAAAGAAAACTAGAGTCAGCTAGCTAACGAGTTATTATATTCGAGCACAGATATTTTTAGGTCGCCTAATTTTGACTTACTAAGTTTCGAGGAGCAGATTCTAATGAATTCCTTCAAGAATCCCGCTAGTTACGAAATCAACGTCCCCTCAATCAAAACCCAAACATTAAAAAGTTTTGACCCGAATATTCTTTTCTATATCTTTTACAACTTCCCTCATGATAAACTATAAATAGACTCACATAATGAACTGATCAATAGAGGGTGGATGTATCACAAGGATACCAGCAAGTGGTACATTTTAGCAGCAGATGAGCAATAGTCTCCACCATAGTAGCAATAAACTATAGCAGCAGCAGGGTCTAATCGCAGAAAGAGGACGATGGTTTAAAGTCTTACAAAATGCTGGTATATCTTCGACACAGAAATGTGGAAAAGAGTTAAATGCTCTAGCAGTAGTGAGACAATGTAAATACCACCAACAGAGGAACTTAATAGTTCTGAGATTCAAATTCAGCCTTAAGCTTAAATCAATACAACCAACTCAAATTAGCCTAAAACTGCACAGTTAAGTAATAGTGATTCAAGCAGCAGTGTAAATGGACAAGGCATCGGGAGAGGGAGTATAATAAGAAGGAAACAAACCCAAAGAGGAGGGAGACCTGCTACTATGGGTGAATTTGGAGGTACAGTATCGAATCAATCTGTAGATAGATTTGAAGAAGCATCTTCCAACATCTCTTATAAATCTCTTGTAATTACTCATTAAGATGATTGATTGAAAAATAACAAATTACAGTTCTCACTTGCTTTTAAACTTCAATCTCTCATAAATCGTTCTTGGTGGGGTTTTGGGGTTTTGGGG